CATGCACACGTATGTTTATTGCGACACTAGTCACAGTAGCAAAGACTTGGAATCAACCCAAATGTCCATCAGTGACAGACTGGATTAAGAAAATGTGGCACATATACACCGTGAAATACTATACAGCCATAAAAAGGGATGAGTTTGTGTCCGGAAACCATCATTCTCAGAAAACTATTGCAAGAACAGAAAATCAAATACCACATGTTCTCACTCATAGGTGGGAATTGAACAATGAGATCACCTGGACTCGGAAAGGGGAACATCACACACCGGGGCCTATTATGGGGAGGGGGGAGGGGGAGGGATGGCATTGGGAGTTATACCTGATGTAAATGATGAGTTGATGGGTGCTGATGAGTTGATGGGTGCAGCACACCAACATGGCACAAGTATACATATGTAACAAACCTGCATGTTGTGCACATGTACCCTAGAACTTAAAGTATAATAAAAATAAATAAATAAAATATAAAATAAAAATAAAAGTTAAAGAAAACACGTATGAAGAACAATGAAAGTACAATATATCCAAATGACCAGGATGCAGCTAAAACAGTAATAAATGTGAAATCCAGAGTTTTAGCTGCTTATCTTAGAGCACAAGCATATTTCTATCTTAAAATGAGAATGGAAAAATACATTTCGATGTGGAATTTCATTTTATTGCAAGTGTGCCTTGAATGTCTCTGTGAATTGAGGAGTATTTGTAAAGCAAATGAAGTAAGAAAGGCACCTACTGAAATGATCACTAGAGGGCACTATTATCTAACTTCCAGAGGAAAAAGCTTTTAGTGTGGATAAAGAAATGTTATTAGCTCTAAAACAGACTCAAGATGGCATTATTTTATTCCTCTGTTTTATAGACGAGACAATTGAGGTCCAAAGGGAGGAAATGACTTGCTTAATATCATACAAACACCAGTTGTAGAGTCAGAACTAGAACCCCAATCACATCATGATTCTGCACTAAATCAGACAGACCCAGACTTCCTACACATTTATGGGAAATGAGAGGCTCTTTTCCACTGGGGTTGCCCAGCTACTGTAATGCATACCTGGCGTTGCTGGAGCTGCTGGATAGGGCTGGGCACTGAGGGAGTGTACCCTATGGAGAAAGCCTGCCTGAGAGTGAACCCGTTATAGTGGAAGGTGTAAGCCAGGAATGGGGAGACGGGACTTGAGAGCATTTGAGCCAATAACCTGTGCCTGAAGCTAGTGCCACCTCTTGGACATTTCTGTGATACCAGCTGGTAGATTTTCTTTTTATCTAAAGCTGGTGGGTATCGGAGTTTTCTATCGCTTGCATCCAAAATTTCTGAATATGCTAAGTGTCTCTACTTTGCAGAAAGACCAATAGTATTCAGAACACATGGCTTTATGTTGGACAAAGCCAAAAAAGGTTCTGGGAAACTCACCAGGACTGTTTGAGAGGTGATAAAAACATATGAAGAGCTTCTCATGTTTCATTTTCCAGAAATTTTAGATCCTAAGTCATCAGTATGATTGTTTTTCTCTGCTGACTTCATTGCATTCTTGGAAGGCTAAATTATTTCGAAGGAGACTATTAAGAAAATGTGTGTTATATACTGGTAGAAAGGAGATGCAGGTTGTGTCATCTTTAGTACAATAGTGTCGTCACACTCTCCAGGGGCAGAGTAGGGAGCGAACATGGCTTGCCTCAACAGTTTATGTCCTTCGCTTTTATGTACATCGCCTTATTTCCACCACATAGCAAATTGGCGAAGTGTTCTCGTGTCTATTCCACAGATGATATAGAGACAAAGTCTAAAGTCACCAGCTAGTCTGTATAAATATTAGGATTGGAACTCAGTTCTATACTTTTGCTTTTATGCTAGAAGTACTTGTATCTTATCCCAACTCAGTGCTGATAAACCTAGGAACTTCAGAAAGCATCACGTTTGATTGAGATGTTGGCTTTTAAACTGCTTTCATTTGCCATGATGAAAGTGTAATGTATTAAAAGGGCATAAAAATGCAGTTTTTCAACACATTCACCACACTATGATATGGTTTGGCTGTGTCTCCACCCAAATCTCATCTTGATTTATAGCTCCCATAATTCCTACAGGTTGTGGGAGGGACCTGGTGGGAGATAATTGAATCACGGGGGCGGTTTCCCCCATACTGTTCTCATGTTAGTAAGTCTCATGAGATCTGATGATTTTATAAGGGGTTTCCCCTCTGGCTTGATTCTCATTCTCTTTGCCTGCTGCCATGTAAGATGTGCCTTTTGCCTTCTGCCATGATCGTGAGGTCTCCCCAGCTGCGTGGAACTGTGAGTCCATTAAACCTTTTTCTTTACAAATTACCCAGTCTCAGATATGTCTTTATCAGCAGTGTGAAAACGGACTAATACACTAGTTTTTCTCAGAAAAGTTTCTTTTCTTCCTTCCTCCTTTCTGAACCAGTTTAACCCACATTTTGCTTCTGTCTGAGGCATAACAAACCCAAAATGTGTAAACTGCTCTCATCTTAAGTGTACAGCCCAGTCATTTTTAAACATCTTGATATCCATGAATCATCACCTAGATTGAGATAAAAAACATGTCTAGCAACCTAGAAGTTTGTCTATTTGGTACGTGTTCATTTCCATGCAGAGGTAACAGGCTGGAGTCCAGTGGCATGAGCACAGCTCACTGCACCCTCGATTTCCCAGGTTCAAGTGATCCTCCCACCTCAGTTTCCTGAGTAGCTAGGACCACAGGTGCACACCACCACATCCAGCTAATTTTGTTTTGTAAACATGGGGGTCTCACTATGTTGCCAAGGCTGGTCTTGAATCCCTGGACTCAAACGATCCTCCTGCCCGAGCCTCCTGAAGTGCTGATTACATGAGCCACTGCGCCCAGCTCATGGTTCTCTTTAATGCATCTTCCATACTTAGATTTGTAATGTTTCATTTCATAGAATATTGAGAGTAAAAATGGGCTTACTTTAGGGATTATCTAGCCTATCTCAGCCTCTGCTTACCAGGAAAATACAATAGTGAGGAATGTATCTTTCCCAGCCAAGGTTGCCCACCAGGGCCTCCTCACTTCCAGTCTAGTCCTTACCAGTTCCCCTCTGTTATGGACTGAATGTCTCCCCAGGTCCCTGTGTGGAAGCCTAACCCCTAGTATGAGGGTATTTGGAATTGGGGCCATTGGGAGGTAATTAGGTCATGAGGGTGGAACCCTCATGAATGGGATTCATGTCCTTAGATAAGGAGATACAAGAGAAATGATCTTTCCAACACATAGGGATGCAGCAAGACAACCATCTGCAAACCATGAAGAGCGCTCACCAGGAGCCGAATCTGTGGGTGCCTTGCTCTTGCACTTCCAGCCTCCCTAACAGTAACAAATGTCAGTTGTGTAAGTCACTCAGTCTGTGGTAGTTACAGCAGCCTGAACTAAGACATCTTCTTACATTTCCATAAACATCACTTGGCATGTACTTCCAGAATTGCTTATAGGGAATGTTAAATATTTATACAAAAGCATAATGGAGAGAAGACAGCAGCAGATAGAACTCAGTGGCTTATCTTCAGGGAAAGCAGGGGAGGTTTAACGTAAACAAAAAGCTCATTAGCAGGTCCTCTGAAAGCCATGCAACTGAGCAGCTTATTTACAGTTCTGAGAAGGACCCCCTCATCTAGCCAAGCTCTGAAAGGCCCTAGCACCATAGGTCCCCTTCCCCCAGCCTCTTTCCCCCATGTCAAGCACTACAGTGGCTTGAAGGACACTTACTTCCACATTTTCTCTTCACAAGACTTCAAGTCCCTGAGAAACCTTCCACCTCCTCAGAATATGGCCTAACCCATAACACATCCGGGCTTTCTACGTCTCCTGGCTCATTTTTGTTTTGGGTGGTGGTTTAGAAGGAGGCATCCAAGGCAATGGATTTTCCTTCCATTTCTGAACTGGAAGGCTCACAGCCTCAGAGATGAGCCAAGCAGCAGAGGCATCCTGGGACCAAGAGGAAACTTCTTATTCACACAGGGGACTAGATGGGCAGAAAACTAGTCTTTAGGTTAGCAGCAGGTTAAGTAACAATCAGTTGTATCCCAAGTTAGGATCTGAAGGTCTGGGCTTGGCCACAGGTATTTCTACCAAGGAGAAAACACTTTTTGCTTGCTTTAAGATTTATAGTTCTGTTCCTAAAAATCCCAAATTCTCAGCTGTATTCACATGGCAAAGCTCATGAGAGCTGAGGCTTACATTCTCTGTCCTCGAGAAAGAAGACCACTATCTGGTCTTTAATAAGAGAAAATCTAGACATATCACATTAGACTTAAAAGCAAGTGATTATTTGAGACTTAATGTTGATTTGTCCATAGCTCAGGTAGAGAAAGTCCTTATTATCCATGGGGCCAGCAAATCCACAGCATCAGCATCGCCTGGGAGCTTGTTAAGAAATGTGGGCCCCACCCCAGACTTACCAAGCCAGAATAACACCCCAAAGAGATTTGTATGTAGACTACAGTTTGATAAGCACTGCCCTAGGAACATTCAAATAAAGAAATTAGAGCTCTGAGAAAAGTGTGTTGCTCAGATGAACATTATTTCATGAACCGTGTGTGTGGGGGGCTGAATACTGATCCAAAGACAGGAGTCGAAGACAGCTCTCTGCAGGACTTGCTGACTCACAGTCTTAAGTATCTCCTGCTTAGATTGCGGTGTGCACACAGCACCCAGGTTACTCAACATTCATTCACCATGTCCCCACTGACCCAGCACAACAGCAGTTGGGAGTGAAAAAAAAAAATCTTCCAGTGGCCCAGCAGTCAATTCAGTCACACTTCAAGTTCTATCTCCCCACAGGGGTGATAGCTACCAGCGGAGATAAGGCATCTGTTTGTCTTCATCACTATGCTTCTTTCTAGAAACGTCTGAGGTCTCAATGATGAAAAAATAATTTCACGGTATTTGGGTTAATTTCAAAAACCAAACTCTACAACTATTTGTTGAGCTGTGGAACTCACACACATTCAAAGGTTTCTGAATGAATGCTAATTCCATTCTTTTATTTCCTCATACCACAAACATTTTAATTTATCTGCCTTTTTACAACCTGATTTACACAAGCAAATTGCAAATGAAAACCAGGCATTCTTTAATCATCCAAAGTGCGTGTATAAAATATAGAACAAACCCTAGTATTTAAACATAAACAGGGGTAGCTGAAGCAGCTTTATTGCAATCTCTTCAAGTTAGCATATTACAGTTTAAATATTTATGCCTGTAAAGGTCTGCATAATCTACAATACAGAGTTATTTTAGAAGCAGTTAAGACTTAACTAATTGAAAAAAAACCAACAAAACGTCAACGCAAAGCTGTAACAATTATCTGAAACTTATTTACAATTAAACAGTTAGGGTCCTGATTTACAGAATTCAGTGCCTTTCATGATTTATTGATGAGTTTTATAGAGAAAGTAAGCAGTATGTAGAATATTCCCCAGGTAAAATCTGGAGTGAATTGCTTTTAGAGCAGTCTATCAATATGCTTAACTAACAACTAAAGAGTAACAAAACTGTATACAGCAGCAATCAGAATAACAGGCCACAACAGAAGAACTAATGCCATTTTTGACAGTATCTTTTGTATGTATAGGAAGAAAAATGATGGCCATCCCCCACCCCCGCTGCCAACTTTTTTAATTAAAAAAATAAATTGTCCTTAATAATCACTACATGTGAATTCTGGGTAATAATCTCCTTTCTTCCCACAGAGTTGTGTTAAAACTTAATTACTGCATCAGCAAATTTAAACAAAGAAAAGTTCCTTTGATAACAGCCGTCAGAGTTCAATGGGTATTTATTCAGAGGGGAAAGCTTGGGGCAAGGTGACCAAGTGGTTAACTGTTCCAGTTGCAAAAGAGACATCATAGATAAGGTGCTAGAAACCCAAGATTACCCTTGAAGCACTTCAGTGGATTCAAGTGATTTAATATACACAACAAAGGAAATGACAAAGGAAAATTAATGAAAGTGTTTTTAAAGAGAAAAATTTCAACAAATCAGGTCCCAGGTAGTCTTTAAAAGAACAAAAATTTACAGTAAACATTTTAACTCTGGAATGCAAGTATTGTACAATTACCAGTACATTACATTTACAAAACTGCTTAGACAGTAGTTGCTCCAGAGTAAGAATTTTAAAATATACAAGCCAGTTCACGATGACTTTAGATATGTTATTAAAATACATTGTTAATCAAAAATACTTTACTATGTACATGTACACTGTATAAACTCTAGATTTGCCTACCAAAGAAAGCCTTAATCAATTTCTGGTTCACTGGCCCAGTACAATTCTATCATTTAGTCTTCGTATCATACACATGGGCTGAGAGGCATCGTACTGCCGTCAGTTCGTCAATAAAACAGTAACGCATTTTTCTTTCTGTAGAACGTCTAGTTGGATGAGTCAGTTTTACTTCCACCATATTTTACTTTCCTAAATGCTGATCCAAGTAACTCTGGGCATTCACATAATTCATTTGCAATTTGGTTACACTTCAAAATAAGGCTATAATTCATTTCATCAGTTATGACACTGTCTTGCTTGTAGTCAGGATGGTTTGCGATAAACTCCCTCATCCACCTGGCAACTGTCATTAGTTCTCCTGTGGGGCGGGGAAGCGAAAAAAAAATTAAAACCACAGAAGTTTTCTTTTAATAAGTTGATATTTAGTGGTCGGCATAAACGCAATTCTGGAGAGAAATCACTGTGTCCTTTTAGTGTAGTCGCATGGCAGGGGTGGGAACATCTTTCATAGCGTTTGAAGAAGTCCTCCTGGGCAGGAATTCTAGGTTGCAGGCAGGCAATGAGAACACATACATCCAGTTTCTATGGTACCTGTTAGAGGCCACCCATATGCCGACACTGCTAGCTCTCAAAGGACAGGAGCCAGCACATGTGTACAAGAGCATGTGTCCTCCCGTTTGGCCAGAGGGCTAGGACTACAAATGCCGAGACTGCCTCAGAGGACTGTAGGGTCCCTTGAGCCATCTTTGATCAAAGAGGTGGAGAGAATAAAGAACAGTAAGTAGAGTGAATGAAGAGGGAAATTGGCAGTATACCATTTGAGGGGTGAGGTGGGATTCTACGGCTATCCTTTGTGACTCCAGAAAGTGTACAGAAGCCTCAAGTTAAATACAGATGCCATTACCATCAGTGCTGTCACTTTATTCATAGCTGACAGCTCCCTTGTGCCAAATACTGTGTTAGGCACTGTAAATGTAACCTTAAAGCTAATAAAGAAAGGGGATTCTCAGGAGCCTCATTGTATGTACAAATGCAGGCTGAAGAACAGTTCAGCTTATTTAACTTACAGAGTTCCTTAGTCCTATAAAAGAGCCCATGATGATGTACAATCAACACAGTTGGACGTAAATGGTAAGTAAACAATCCAGATGCCATTTCATCATCTGAGATGCCAGTGATTTGAAGATGCACCCCTATTTTCTGAACTGATAAGAAAAAAAGCACTGCTAATCTAAATTATGTGTCAAAGATTAAAGGTGAATACAATTGCAGAGATATGAAAATGTGAAACAGTGTGCATGAATTAAATACGGCATTATTTTAAAAGACTTTAAGAAATTGAACATTCTAAGATTGTACCGTTCTGTCTACATTACGAGATTAAGAAAAACAGATATCATACCAGATGCTCTCTTCTTAATTAGCTTTAGGTAGTTCAGAATACTACATCTAGTGTCCACATCTACTTCCATGTTTTCAAGGTAAGAGTTCAGAATTGGGATCAGTCCAGGAAACACACCTTCCTACAAGAAGCAGGACACGTTATGAACTCCCTGCCGGCGGATGTGCACAGTGAGGCATACTGTACAGGGCCACCCTCCTACCTTCCCATTGATGATGGTGTCTATGCTCATGAGGGTGTACTCCTCTGCAGCAAGCTCTGTGCTGTTCTGGGCCTTGCCACAACCATCCACCACTGCGTTGCCACCTGCTGGACAAGAGCGTCAGGGGAGCTTTAGCAGCTTGTTGCAGCATAAGCTGACGTTAGAAATCTAAGATAATGTAATACCTTTGCAAATATCTTTCCTGAAATAAAACATTCCCTGCAAGACAGCATCTCGTTTCTGTGCTGCCTTCATGTTCTCATCAACCTAAGGGAGAAAAAGAATCACGACTAAGTCACAATATTCTTGATCGGACATACAAGTTGCAGCGCCTTCCTCACTTTTGCAATGAGGACTCACTCCCTTAGGGATTCTACGTTCTGCTCAAATGCTTCCCAGTGGGAGGAACAGGCTTTTTATTTATGTGAGGACTGTGTCACTCAATCATGGATTGGTATGTGATTTTTTTAACTAATCAGGGAATTATAAGAGAAACGTAAAACCCAAAACTTATATTCATGTGGAATGTCTGTATTTCAAAGCACCTCTGTGACTGAGGCTTGCAATAGACATACAGTGTTGGGAGGGCAGGTGGCTGGTTCCATTTACATAGCAGTGTCTCACCAGGAGTCCCAGGGTAAGGAAGGCAGAAGGCAGGACTAGAACCCAGTTCTTCTTCTTCTGTTTTTTTGAGACGGAGTCTCACTCTGTTGCCCAGGCTGGAGTGCAGTGGTGCGATCTCAGCTCACCCCAACCTCTGTCTCCTGGGTTCAAGTGATGCTTCGTGCCTCAGCCTCCCAACTAGCAGGGATTACAGGCCTGCGCCACCACACCTAATTTTTTTTGTATTTTTAGCAGAGACGGGGCTGGTCTCGAACTCCTGAGCTCAAGTGATCTGCACACTTCGGCCTCCCAAAGTGCTGGGATGACAGGCGTGAGCCACCGCGCCTGGCCTATAACCCAGTTCTTCTAAGTTGAATGCTCTTCCCCTGCTGCCTCGCCATTGGGGTTTTGCCTCCCCACTATAGTGAGGAAAGGCAAAGACAGTTCATAGGTTGTCGTATCTGGAATAAGGTTACAGCCCTCCCAAGGGCAGAAGATCACTGCTTTTTGCCCACCTGGTGGCTCTGGACATGTCGACTCACTCATGAAACCGAAACCTGTTTCATTTGTGAATTCTCTACATCGCCAATGACTTTTTAAGACTCTCAAAGCAGAATTTTAAAAACTTTTTAGTAGTAATCCCTTATTTTCTATAATGAAATCTTATGTGGGACCTCAGTATATACAATAGTGACCAGTTAGGCTGATGTGGGACAGATGGTACACAAACTCTCTTGATTACCAAGTCTCCTCCCATATTCATTATGCGGGGAGTGCGACTGTTAACGGTTTCATTTTTGAAAAGACAGACAGGACCTTCTGAAGAATCCAGATACTCTAGGAGCACACTCATATAAATAGTATAAATTCCACCATGGCTGTGAACATCTGCTTTCATTACTAGTATTTGTTCCTTTTTTCCTTAGTCTTGAAAAAAGTTGATAATGACCACTTCTAATTTCTGCTTTTATGACTTCCTTTCAAAGTATATTTTATTTTGTTCTTTAGATTCTCAACTACTTAGATTCAAAATCTTTGTTTTACGACATAATTTTTCCTTACACACCAGCTCTGCCAGCAACCTACTGTCTTTCACTTTCCTATACAACCTGTAATTCTAGTTTTGGTGGATCTAAAATCTATACATTTTTAATTTCCAATGTTATATTTCTCCAGAATATCTCTTTAGTTTTAGTGGGAACGCATGCTCTATTGTGTCTACTTTTGAGAAGTGAAGATTTTCTTTATTTTTTGTAAATCTTACTCATGGCATCTGAAAAAAGATGTGGTATGAGATATGTAATACAGGCCATACAACCAAGCTTATTAACCATGCCATTTAACTCCCCCATGGCCCTTCCCATCCTTTGATTATACGGCCTGTCAGTTACTAAGTAACAGGCAAGGTACTCTGCTAAGTGGTTTACCTCATTAATCTCACATGGGCTTACAACAGCCTACTTATCCCCCTCTGGGATACATGTGGAAAATTGAGGCACTGAGAATAAGTAACTTGTCCAGGTTAAAAGCCTACTAAGTAGTACCAGGGATTTATGCATTTAGTTCTCACATCAAAGCCACATATTACCCATCACACTAAATTCTTTTCATGTTACATTTCATGGTACAAAAAGGACCACAGCTTTCACATCTTCTTGGAAGAATATATAAAACTGCTTTCTCTATCCCATTTAATAATTTCTACCTCACATTTTGCCTGATATCGCTTTGCCATTCCTGCTATCATTCCAAAAGGTCACTATGCAGTTCTTCCCGGCATCTGTCCTTGTTCTAGGTATATCTTGTGCAAACTGTGTTGTTGCTATTTTATATTATCTGTTTTAGCAGTTTAATAGGATAGAGTTTAGTCTATTCAAATTTGTTTTCATTTTATTTTCACCATTTTATGTTCTGTGGGCTATTGTTTCTTCACTCCCCTGGCCCCACACCCAATTTTGTGGCACTGAAATGTATTCCTGGTTCATTTTACCACCCTTTTAGCCAGCAAGTTTAGGAGTAATAAATCCTGTTTCTATACTATTAATAGTTTTCCTTACTTTTAAAGAGGTAGTTTTGAAATTATAACTCTCTAAGTGTCAAGCACTAATGAGTATCTGCCATTCATCTCCTTCCATATCCCCTTACTAGGTGCCATGGTTTGAATGTTTGTGTTCCCTCAAATTCATATGCTGATGCCTAATGCCCATTGTGACAGTATTAGAAGGTAGGGCCTTTGGGGGGCGATTGGGAGGACCTCCTTTGGGATGTCATGAAGACTCTACCCTCATAAATGGGAGTAGTGCTCTCATAACAGAGACACCTGAAGAGCTAGTTAGCCCCTTCCACCATGTAAGAACATAGCAAGAAGGCACCATGTATGAACCAGAGGGCAAAAGCTCTCACCAGACACTGACACTGCCGGTGACTTGATTGTGGACTTCCCAGCCTCCAGAATTGTGAGCAATACATTCCCGTTGTTTATAAACCACCCAGTGTAAGGTATTTTTGTTACAGCAGCCCAAACAAACTAAGACACTAGATAAGACTTCTGGCATACTTTTAGCCCTAACTTGATCCATTCAGTTTTGTTAGAATCACCTGAAATTTAAAGAATAATTTGGATGAGAAGATAATTCTGTGGTTGTTAATTCTTTACCTCTCGAGATTCTGAAAACTTCTTTCCATCCAGCATTTAATGTTGCAAATGAGAAGTAGTATCAGTTGATTTTTTTCCCCCTTGGCAGGTCTCCTCATTTTTCCTCTTGTCCAGACAGTTAATTTTCTCTTTGAAATTAATAAATGCCTACTTTTGAGTTAAGTATTTGTCTCATCCTTAAGGGAGACTTATTAAGGAAAAATTCTATTATTTCCTTGATTATTGTATTTTATATCTTTTCTATATAAACTATTCTCCTCTTCTAAATTATTACATAAACATTGAATTTTCTAGAGTTTTCCAGGCTTCAGGTTTTCCATAATTTCTATTTCTTCACCATCCTGCTGGGATTAATCTTAATTTGGTCTTCTAAGTCACTACCTTGGATATTCAACAACATCTGCTCTACTGGTGAGAATACTCACCATTAAATAAGCACCATCTATAATGCTTGTTTTATGGATGTGACTGAACCTCTATAGAATTTGTCTGAGGCCACTAATTAGAATTCCTTTAAGAACACTTTCCAAAGCTGAGCATGGTGGTTTGTGTCTGTAATTCCAGCTACCTGGAAGGCTTGGCAGCAGGAGGATCATTTCAGCCCCGGAGTTCGAGACCAGCCTCAGCAACATAGTGAGACCCTGTCTCTAAAAAAGGTTTAAAAATTAAAAATAATAATAATAATTCTTTCCAGTTTCTTATCTTTTTTTTTCAAGAGATGGGATCTGGCAATGTTGTCAGGGCTGCACTGGAATTCCTGGATTCAAGCAATCCTCCTGCCTCAGCCTCCTGAGGAGCAGAGATTATAGGTGTGTGCTGGGCCCAGCTTACTTCCTTGAAGTAACTAAGTTTCACTGAACAGAGTATACCCTTGCAGGACCAGTTGGGCCCTTCTCTTTAAGGCTGTTAATTGTTCTCAATTTTCTGTTGCCTTCCGGGCATCTATTCTTATTTATAAGCAAAGGCTTAGACCGGTAGCTTACATGCAATCTCTCTTAGATGGATTTGGTCTCCTCAGTAGGTAGGCATGAGGGCAACGTGGGCCCACAGAATTCTATGAGTGATCTTTGGTCTGGGTGTGGGGATGGGCACAGTCTGGCAAACCCCTCATGGAGGAAGGAGATGCCCCAGGGCTGGAGCTAAGCAGTTTCATTCCTGCTTCCATGTTTGCTGTGACAGGGCTGCCCTACTTCTCCATTCTCTGGCCCTAAAACCCTCAACCAGGAACTTCTGCGGCAGGGCCCTCTCTGTTTAGCAGTTTTTTCCAGCCACTCTCTGCCAAGAGGAACCCTGGCCCAGAAACCAAAGGCCTTCACCTCCTCAGCTACTGCCCCACCACCCACAGCTCTGCTCCCTCATCACCTGGAGTTGTTCTGCTGGCAAACTGCTCCCAGAAAGCGTGGTTTTTGGTCTTTTGGGGGGCTGATGAACTCCAATTTGTTTTTCTGACAGTCCAACCCCATCCAAATTCTTCAGAAACATCTGAAGTTCAGTTCTACTGAGGATACTTTTCCTGGCATTCCAGCATTTACACTTTCCCTCCCCATCCTAATTTTAACATTGTAATCAACCTGGGATTTTGTAGTGGATGAAATCAATGTGTGGGACTACTTTTAGCCATCAATCATCTTGAATGGAAAGCATCTAGAAATTAAGCCTAGGTTTAAAAGAAAATAAAGAATAGGGCTGATGGAGAAACATTTTATTGCAAAGGGCAAACAATTCCAAGTGAAATCAGGTTGTAAAAAAATAGCATATATAAATAAATATATCTACAGATAGATCTATACCCATCACCATAAAGAAACATATCCTTACCTTTGACAGTGGAATGAGAAAATCCAATTTGTACGAAAGGATCACTCTGGTGAGCAGTACTACGAACACCACATAGGCAGAGTTCTCAAAGTCTGTTAATTGCACCTAGACAAGCAGAAGCTCAGAGAAGTTACAGACCAACTACACAAACGTGCTCTTCCCTGACCCAGGCCCCTCCTCAGATCATGTCATTCCCAAGCCATCTCCTAATTCCCCATCTGGGTCTGGAAGCCCTTTGCCCACATCTATTCTCAGAAATCAACCCTCTATAACTTGGACTGACTTGTTACCATGCACATACTTAATTTTTATTTTATATTTAAGAGCCTTCTGACAGCAGCATCAGAAGGGTGATGAACAGCTGGCGGAAGAGTACTTTTGAGTCAGTTCTTGCTGATGCGTGTGTCTTACCTCCATGGGTCGAAATTCTACTCTCCATCCGATGTCTGAGTTTGGAGGAGGGGGCTTAAATCTCATTGTCTGCCAATTTGTGGACTGAATATTCTATGATACAAAAGCAGAGAAGAAAACCCACTTTTCACACGTCTGGGAAAATGTTAAGATGATCTGATATTTAATTAGGAAAGAAGACTGCTTACTGTCCATACCAAATTTCTTCAACTGACAAAGACAAAAAGGTATAATTCAAGATTTTCTTGGAGTGTGCTCTTTCAGGAAAACAAAACAGCAAGTGTTTACCAAAAGCTAGAGGCCCTATCCCTGCAAGCTTAATCCCACCCAGCTCCTACTCCCTACCTCCCACCTAGGGGGCAGCAGCTGAAGAGCCATGGGGCCCCCACCTTCATCCCTGAGAGTTTTAGGAGCCAGCCTGCCGTTCCAGGTGACACTGGACACTTTCATCTGAGAACCCTGTCATACAACAGTTGTTTCCTTTCTTCCTCCTCTCCTGGGAATGCTGCTGCTTCAATGACCCCAGAGCCTAAGAAGGGTAGCTGTTTCTCAAGACACTGAGAGAGAGTTCTTTCTTGGCCCTAACCATCTTGGGATCTGATGGCAAGACTGGAAGGATTTATATCTTTTGTGAGTTTGGTGGGGGAAAGAAAGGGGATATAGGTGGTATTTCAAAAGGTATATATGTCAATGTCTACATATAACATGACACAGAAGTAAGCCTATGAGAAGCCTATCTACAAAAAAAAAAAAAAAAAGGTGGTATGTCTGAAGCACTGAAATAACTGATCAGGTTATTTTTTGTGCAGTGTATGAATTTTTCACCACTAGGCAAATAAGAAAATACTGAACAACAACAAAACAACATAATCAGTGAGATAAACAGTAAGAATCGTAAAATAAGAGTACTTGAAACCAATTTTTCATTTGTTCAAGTTCTTTTCTGCACTGGGTAAATGAAAGTCTTACGAAATGTCTTTTGTATTCTTCACAGGTACAGAAAACTGCCTCCCCATGTTGGTTTGTGAAGTGAAATGCATATAAAACAGAGGATTCCAGACTCTCAGAAGTCAACAAATACATAAATAAAAATAAAACTGAGGAGATACCTCAAAATGGTCAGACTCATTAGCATCATCCAGGTGTATTTTCTCTTCAAAAAGTGTCAGTGGGTCTCTAATAAAGAGATGAGCAACATGCTGGGCCAGGAGATGATCAATGCCTGCAAAGAGATCATATGGGAACTCACTGCAAAGCAGGAGATACCCCTTCCTCTTAGTCCAGAAAGACGACAGGATAGCTCAGGAAGTTTGAAGAAAGGGTGTCTAGAAGCTTGAAATAGCTGGTTTGATTAGTATCCTCACCTCGCCCAGTATTTTATCCTGCGGACACTGCAGAAATGTCAACGTTTTATTCACTACTTACACAATGCCTGCTGGGGCACTGGTGTGGACCTACACACAGACCTCCAAAGTAAGCTCCTTTTGCTAAAAGTCAAGAAGATCTCACAAGTATTTGGAACCTGAAACTTTAGGAACAAGCAGCCTCATAAGGAAAGTTAAAGACTTCACACAAAAAATAGAAACCAGACCAGGAGTCAGCAAAAAAGTGTATAAGAGCTTTGAAGAACTAAAGGCGTACAATTAAACCCAGAGAGATGCAGTAGGAACCCACCTTCCTGCAACAGCTGTTCGTAGATCTCTTTATCTATTGTCAAGTCGATGTCATTATATTTCTCACCACACTTAGATAAATAGCTGTCTATTGAGTCATATCGGGATTTACTGATCCTATAGTTATTGTTCTTCAATGGCTAAAGATTAAAAATATATATAAATGAATATGCTATATAAAATGAGTTGAAAATAATATATTTTTATATATGATAATTATATAAAAACCTCAACATAAGATACAGAAAAAAAGTTAGAGAGCCCTGAAAAGTATTATTAAGGAAAATCCTATTTTTTAAAATCTGAAGGTAATTTAAATACCCTTTTTTTCTGGTATGATTTAAATACACTTTTTTCTTTTACAAGCAGATCACTTTCATTCTTATTAAGCTAGGGAAAATAAATGCTAAGGTTAAAAGCAAATAAATAAATAAATCTATAATGTAAGATAAACCTATCAAAATAATTTATCCTTTAAAGTTTATTTCTACTTAGAAAGCATGTTCAACAATTTATGAACAATTACATGAAGACCAGAGCAGCAGTAGTATAGCCCTGGTTAAGAATATCAAAAATACTTATGAGGGCTCCTTTAAAAACACCCCTGGTTCAGGTCCCATCCTAGAGATTCTTATTTAGTAGGTCTAGGATAGGGTCTCGGTGTCTACTTTTAAAGATTTCCATGGGTGGTTCTGATGCACACCCCTTGCTGGAGAGATGCAAGGGTTACTTTACAGTTCAACATGCAAACAAGAGGTGCCATCTCACCCTTATTAGTCAATGCCTAACCTTTTACATGAAAAAAGAATCTCTGACACAAATTATACTTTCCACAGCAGAAAGCACCATATACAAAACACTCATGTGGCACCAAAAAGCCTTTTGCTAAAAACAGCCATCAGCACTTCCAAAATATAGAAAAATGGCACTACTAATTTTAAATGAAGCTAAAACAAATACAGACATCAACATACGATAGAAATTAACTCCCCACCTAGACCAAATCTTTTTCCTCACTTTAGATAAAAATTTCAGGGAGACATCCTAAAATTGCAAGTAGTTACAAAAGATCCATTTTTACCTGCTTGATTTAAAAGGGCTATTAAGGAACAATAATTCCCACCTCCAGTCCTCTCTCCTCCCGAGTTCTATCATCTACAGATGCAGAAATCACTCCCCAGCGACAATCGATGTCTGACACATAGCCTCGGTAAAAGGGAGATGCAGCACTCAAAGCCATCTAAAAACAAACACAAGTCAGCTCCTGCAAATTCAAAATGTCACTTACATGCTAAAAAAAGCTCCATGCAGTTATATTTCTGATAAAAAATAATCAGTTTGTGCAACCCATACAGAGCTCCACCACATGTACCTGTGCCTATCTTACAGTGAAATATACCAAGAAGAATCCAGTTCCTTGGGTTTGATTCACTTAAATCATCCTCTCTCTAATGTGAGGACATGAAGTACGGGAGAGGGAAAATGGCCACATTCAAACTTGACGTTTAACAAATCAATGTTGTACTAGCAACAGTAAACTTCTACAGTGTAGACTCTCAGTTCATTATACCTAAACCTGCATACTACTTATATTAGTCCATCTCTGACTGAGGTCTTAACTGGACTTAAATAGCATACCATTAGTAAATTCTGCATATGATATCTTATTTCCTACGAAGTAGTATTTAAAATAAGAGGAAATTTATACTTACGACAATTGGACAGATAGTAGCCAACTGATCATAAAGGTATCTGGCCTCAGATATACTGCAGGCTTGGAATGTCACCTGTTTAAGAATTGCAAAGTTATTAACACCAAGGAATCATTAGCATGCTCCCCAAGCAGTGAAATCAGATAAGGAAGGTGCTGGGGAGAGAGGGGCAAGTTAACAATGCTTCATGAATGCCAACATTTAATGCAAGAGTTTTGTTTAAAAGTTGTCTTAGGTGAATTTAACTAGAAAATGGTATTTAACTATGTTCCATTGCCTATAGGCAACTAATATAAATAACCAAGGTCCTAAGTGAAATAAGATTAAGTAGTCAAAAAAGAAAAATAAGACACAGACATACAATGACCTTTAGCAAAGCATTTTCTCTTCTACTGGCTTGTTGCCTTCCTATCCCTTCAGTTAGTGAGGGATACAAAAGGTATTTGGACCTGTTAACTATTGTTTCCTTTCCCTTCCTTTTGCTTTCCTTCCCTTCCCTTTTCTTTTCTTTCTTTCCCGTTTTTTTTTTTTTTTTTGAGATGGAGTCTCACTCTGTCGCCTAGGCTGGAGTGCAGTGGCATGATCTCGGCTCACTGCAAGCTCTGCCTCCTGGGTTCACGCCATTCTTCCACCTCAGCCTCCCGAGTAGCTGGGGCTACATGTGCCCACCACCACGCCCGGCTAATTTTGTTTTTGTATTTTTAGTAGAGACAGGATTTCAACGTGTTAGCCAGGTTGGTCTCAATCTCCTGACCTCGTGATCCGCTCGCCTCGGCCTCCCAAAGTGCTGGCATTACAGGCGTGAGCCACCGCACCTGGCCAACTACTGTTTTCAAACTTCACTGGTGGCAGTATGGTGAAGAGCTTGGAAGGGGGCAAGACTAGAAAGACTGGGAAGCAGTTAAAATACTGCATCTGTCAAGGAAAAGGCTGAGGAAGGATGTGGGGGAGAGTGATACTAAAGTCAAAGTAGCAGGCACTGGTGACCAAGGGGAGACCGAGAGTGGGGGATGGCTTAGGTTTTGGCTTGGGTGTTCAGAGGTTAGAGATAAAGAGGTGTCATGACGTGATGGACTTATGAGGCCAAGAGAACAGACAGAAAGAGAGGTCCTCTAAGTGGCTAGGTCTCCAGGACTGGTGCTCAGAAGAAAAATCTGAGTTGTAGAAATACCTGGGGAGTAGGCTCAGATAATGTCCTGAAGATGGGGAGATCACCCAGGAAGCCTGCACAAGGAGGGTAGGTAGGACACTTAAGAGTCAGGCAGAGAGAAAGATCATACAACTTGGTGAGCATAAATTCTTTGTTACCCAACAGAAACCAAAACCAAAAACAAAAGACCTGCTTTTTTTCCAAGAGGGTAGAAGGGACAAGGAACACAAATGTGTTTGTGTTAGCACATTAGTAATAACTGCAAGTTGGCAACAGTTTTAACCTCCTCTGTTGTTATTCAATAACGACAGTTTGAATTTCGTGTTATTCAATAATGACAGCTTGAATTTAATGTTGGAACACGAAATAATTTCAGTGTTGAAGACTTGAAATACAGCAGCTAAGTGAATATTTGACTGTTACAATCTCAACTTGTTAGTTCCAATGGTCTTAGCTAGATCTCAACTTTGTTTTCCACAGCAGACAACGTCTATTGGAGACTCAAGTTTGCCTGCTCAATTATAATCGCATTTCATGTCAGTGTGGAGACTATATTAACTAGTCATTACTAGTTTAATAATAATTAATAATTAATTCAACACAGAGAAAAGCTGTGTCATGGGCGCCAAATAATAAGAGTTTCAAAGGTTAAAGCAGACAAAGATTGATAAGGGTTGGCAATTAGGTCACTGATAACTAAACCAAGGGGAGTTGCTGCAAAGAGGTGGGAACTTGGAAATCACTTTGCGTGTGGCATGAATTACACGAGCAGTGAGGAAATGCGAGCTGGCACGCAAAGTCTTTATGCACTTATTTGCTGAAGTGGAAGCTCCAGAAGGGCGGGGATCTTTCTTCCCATTCTCTATCCCAAGTGTGCAGGACACCTGGTTAGTGCTTCACAAATGAGAATCTTGGGGAAAAAAAAAAAAAAAAAGAGGTGCTAAAGAGGATAACATAAGGTCAAAGGTATGGTGAGAAACCTGAAAGACAGGGACCCCAAAGGCCAACTGACAAGGCATTGAGATTTAAAGAAAAACAAAAAACAAAAAACTACATGTTTCCCAAATATTTTGACGAAATAATTATTTTGAACATGCATCTCTTAGTTTTTTATGTCTTTTTTGTGTTACTCTTAGGTATTTTAGTGTGTGTCATTTTTGTTTTTAAAAAGATACTATGAGAAGCAGGTTTTCTTTCCAGTTTTTCAATTGGCTTCTCTCAGATGGCCTGTACACAATACATAATTTGTAGGTGAATCATCGGAAATCCAACCCCAGAGAAGTATACAACAGTGAAGTGACTTAGTTATTTTAAATACCTTTAGTAATTAGCTTTCTTACTCTAGAGCTGATACGCAATCATCAAATTAAATAGGATATCACTGTGGATAATGGCTTTAATGGAAGGAAAAAAAGTTCTTATGCCTTAAAAAGCTATGAATACATGAGTAATTTGGGCTTCTAGTGTCCTTTTAAAGCATCATATAAAGGAGACGCACAATGCTGCCAGGAAACTGATGGGGGTGGGGCTGGGGGTGGAGGGAGGAACTAAGGAAGATATATGTTAGAAACCTAAACATCAAATCTAAACTTTATCTACAACCCAGATCTGAAGTCACATGACTTTGGGGGGGTGGGGTGGGGAGTTTCATAACCTGTCATGAACTTAGTGCTTTTTTTTTTTGGAGACAAAGACTTGCTCTGTTCCCCAGGCTGGAATGCAGTGGTACAATCTTGGCTCACTGCAACCTCCGCCTCCCAGGTTCAAGCGTTTCTCATGCCTCAGACTCCTGACTAGCTGGGATTACAGGCACATGCCACCATGTCTAATTTTTGTATTTTTAGTAGACACGAGATTTTGCCATGGTGGCCAGGCTGGTCTCAAACTCCTGACCTCAAGTGATCTGCCCACCTCAGCCTCCCAAAGTGCTGGGATTACAGGCATGAGCCACCGCGCCTGGCTGTGAACTTGGTGCTTTTTAAGTGATTCCTGAAAGGCCCCAAAACAGTCAAGAATTTGAATGTGGTTAAAATGCTTTTTGTTTTATACACTAAGTCTTCCATTAGCCTTAAAAAATTACTTTAAAACTATTTTTTCTGCTTTACTATAATAAGTAGTTTCTTTTTTCCCCCCATCTCTCTAATGATAGATGTACACAGCTTCAGGGCACACGTGATAATTTAATACATTCATATAATTTGTACAGATCAAATCAGTGTACTTGGGAAAGAAGTCGTTTTAGCGTTCCACTGAAGAGACATAAAGCAGGGATTCTGGTGGTGAATTGGCAAAATTCATTTCATGTGCCACACATGAAATGCTTTATCTGTGCTAATGATTTAAGTGGCATAGTGAAACTGTATATGTCATTGGGAAAAAGAAAACAATCCTACACCCATGACAAAGCTTACACTGGATGGAAAACTTCTATCTACAAGCATAAAAAATATTGATCATCTACCACTAGGAAACATTTATGGGTATACATACAGTGTTTCAGTGGAAAGAAATCCCTTGGAACTATATCAGAGAAACTACGCGGTCCTTGGCAGAACACCCTGGTTTAATATTAAACCAAGAAAAGGCAATCAATACACTAACAGCACTTACACAATTCTAAAACCATGTACTGTAAGCTCTAGAACTTAATGGTTTTCTTTAGAAATACTTGTAATTAAGATAGGAAAACAGATATGCAGTTAAAAGTTGAAAAATCTCTTTTTTCGTGAAGTGTGATGGTTTATGTTTATTTGGAAGTCACATATTTTACACTACCTATAAATGTCAAGAAAACAGAAAGAAATTATCCTCAGTCATGTTATTTAAACACATTCAGAATGGAAAAATCTGATTCTAGCTTTCAATTTGGATTATACTTAGTTTTGAAAACAAACAGACCAGAGATATACGCGCAAGAAATGCGTGTACACGCGGTAGCTGTCTGAGGTGAAGGAAGGCTGGGTTCTGGGCCTCTGCATTGAGAGAAGTCAGGCTGGGGGCTCAGAAGGGTCTTAATGGGTCCAGGCTCTGCACGGCCCCGTGCCTCTAAGGACGCTGTTTTTAATCAGCTGAAGTAATCAAAACTGGATAAAATTTCCTTGGACATTAAATAACAAGCAGCCTCTCTCTTTTACTTCCATTAGTTAAGGCAATAAAATAAATATTAGCTTAGAGTCAGATCTAGAAGGGGACTTAATATCAGCCCTTCTTTCAAATGACGAAAAACCTGAGCCAAAAGATGTAAAGGGAGTTGCCCAAATACTTGAGTAGTGACAGAGCCAAAACCCAACTGCAGGCTTGCGTGTGGCCACCTGATGGGTTCCATGCTTTTCCATTCCGGTCTTAAGTGCGCTTGGACACTCACTGCCAGGGGCACCATAATTTAAACAGACCCAGGAAAATTTTTTAATGGGTAAACAGAAACAGGCTCCTGTATACTTCACTCAGGGGCAAGACAAACACAAGCTGCTAAGTTATTTACTCTTTTTATACCTCTAGACAGTTTTGCACAAATCCCTTGGATCACAAAATCACTGGAATATTTCCATCAGAGCTCATTTTCAGAGTTTAGAACAATATTTAAGCCACCTCATTAGCCTGTCACGAGATGGCAGTAAAAACTAGGCATATAAAAAGAGAAGAGAAACAATGACAGAATATATTGCATTTTAAGTTAACTGAAATTACAGTTATAAAGGTATATATACTGTGCATACCTTTGTGGTGAACCACAGAGTCTGTAGAACAATTAGTCATAGACAGCTACCAATGAATTTGCTAATATAATTTCACTGTTTTTCAGAAAGGCATACCAGCTATCATTTCAACCTCATTAAAATGTGATTTTTGGAACAGGAAACATACATATATAAAGAAGCTAAAAAACAGAAATGGATGGAACACTTTGCCTCTCTGTATGTTTGAAACAATACCTGAAGACAGCAATTGCCCATTCCAAATCCCATGGCATCCATGTAAATATGATCTGGCTTAGAAGCCCTTGAAGCTTCATCATCCTCAGGAAATGTTTCTATAAATGGAGATGGTGTATTCTTGTCCTTAAATACTGTATTATAAAAATACAAAAATAAAAATGGTTTAGAATTCAGGATTAAACAACAATTCAACATGTCTCTCTCCCACCCCACCACCTCTCAGTAGACTTACTTGGTACATTGATGACAACCTTTTCTCCTCTCCTATGTCGGATATTTCTTGTTAAGGTACTAAAACAGACAACCAAACGTCATAAATTGGTCACCTAACAGTCATCGTGTAAAAGAAGAATTTGATTACACACAAGTAAGCAGAATGAAATCATACCTCAGATTGGTTCTCTAAGACAACTCAACAGATAACGTATCTGAGTCAAGATACTATAAGGGAACTTTCTGATTAAAGGTTTTGCATTAGTATCAATTCTTTGGCTCCTGCTCAAGAATGCTGTTCTGTCTCCTGCTCAACCCCTGCTCCCACGGCTCCCTTAACTTACCAAATCAATTCAGGTGTTCAAAGTCTGCCATGGTCTGCTTTCACTGTTTCCAACATGTCCCAAATTAACTCCAAAGACTTTGGTCAAACTTTAGTACCCACTTTGCCCAGGCATCTCTGGAGCCCCAATACCTTGTTCCTCCCTCCTTCAAATCTGCAGGATTAATCCTTATCCTCCAGACTTATGCTTGTTTAGTCCAGAAGCTACCAGGGACACTGTGGCCACTGAGTACTTGAAATACGGCTTGTCCTAATTAAAACACGCACGTGCTGTGAGAGTAAAATATACACCAGATTTTGAAGATGTAGTACCAAAAAAAACATGAAATTACTTGTGAATAAAGGATTACATGGTTCAAATAACATTTTTGGACATATTGGGTTAAATAAAATATAAAATTATGTTCGTCTGGTTTTTACTTTAACGTGGCTATGAGAACATTTACAATTACATGTTTCTATGGGCAGTGCTTCTATAGATTCAGCCTAAATGCCACTTCTTCCATGAAGCCTGCTTTGACCCCCTCAGTCAGAAGCATCTCACTTTCTCCAAGAAGGATTTCTGGTGCATCTTTTGACATCTGTTATAATCTCTCTCTTCTTGAGCAACTGAATTATTTTTATTTTCCTTTAAACACATGACAACATATGAAGTTAGAAACTATGTCTACAAGTATTTGTCTTCCCCAAAAGGCTCTGCACATAGCAAACGCGCGGGCCTGTTAAAAGTAATGAACGCTGAGAAGTCTCCATGTTGCCACTCTGGGTCAGGAGCCTAGGCTCAGGGTGACAGATGAGCATGCATTGTACAAAGCTAAGATCATACTAGTGACAGCCTTAAAGCAACTTAAAACCTCAGAATTGAACGACAAACCAACAGAACTCGAAATTAATGGAAGAGAAGAGAGTGCTCATTATACATATCAGGTACTGTACCTATTTTATAAGTTATATAGAGTAAGATGGGCAGATCACAGATACTGACGGTTAGATAGAGGGAAAAAAAATAGAAATAACGAAAAGAAAAAAAAAATCCCAGTAGGCATTTACAGACCTAGGACTGAAAATAATCTCCTCATTAAAAGAGGTCAGTGGCTCAGCTAGTAACTTTGTGATGACTTGGGAGAACTGACAAGCCTGGTGCACGCATCAACAACCAAGGAGCCTGGGGGTACTGAAGATGTGAACAGGTGCACATCTGCTGTCTTCTCTGGTTACTTAGGAAGACAGCCAAAACTCAGTTAATGCTCAAAAAGGATTTCTAGACAGAAACACTATACTCTCAGAAGTCAGGGGTCTAGTGAAGGGCATCTGCATTTCAACACAAAGCCATACTCACCTGAAGCGAGGGTGCTTGTTTATTGCTTCATCTGGAAAGAAGAGGGACTTGGAAGCTCCTCCTTCCACTGGGTTGGGTTTGACCTCGGGCAGTGTGAACCCAGGACAGCCTAATCTACAACAAATTGAAGAACTAAATAGATAGGATTTGTTTTCAGGAATTAATTGTGTGCAGTCTTGCCATCACTGCACCTGCTAAAGACACCTCATTTCTAGTATCCCCTTTTCAGAGGGTTTTGTGTTTACAAAACAAATGTTGTGTAAATACTGTGCCCCTTTACAACCACTCCCACACTTCTTGCTCACAAGGATCTTCTTTTAATTCCAGCCCACTACTAACTTTATCCAAGTCTCCACTCACTCACAATCCACACAGCATTTCCTCGGGTCCTCTCCATCTCTTCATCTAATAGAAAGGACTGACAGCACAGAAGTCATTTCCCTTGGTCACATCAGCTGTCATGGGTGACAGGTGTCCCCCTACATGGCCTATGATGGGTGTCTTCCTTTTCCATCTCTAAACTCTCAGATTATCTTTGGACCCCCTGCATGGCACCACTGCCTCCCACTTCCCGGTGGGCTCTGAATCTGGAAGGAGCCTGTTTTATGCCTCTGTAGGTCACCTCATGAGTCCCTCAAGATTAGGGAGTATCTCTGCAGGTGTCCCCATCTACCCCTTAGATCACCCTCTGAAGTCTGAAACCCAACCCTTTTCTCTTACTTAAGGAGCTCTACTTTCAACACAGAAAAATGAAGCTCCATATTTATTCCTAAGTGTAAAGCTCAAATTCCACATCACTTTTAGTAATGGCCCCAGTTTTTCTAAGTTAGGAATTTGAGGTCAATATATTACATGTGCTGTGAGGGAGGACAAGGACTAAGTGAAAGCCAAACAAGGGAGGAGTTTTAAATCAGTGGGAAGAAACTTTTGGCTTGAGGCTCAAGACAAGTTCATATCTTTTTTAAAAAAAAAAATATTTTTTTTTTCTGAGACAGGGTCTTGCTCTGTCTCCCAGGCTGGAGTGCAGTGGTGCAATCATAGCTCAGTGCAGCCTTGAACTCCTGGGCTCAAGTCATTCTCCTGCCTCAGGCTCCTGAGTAGCTGGGATTATAGGCGTGAGCCACTGTACCCAAGTTTTGTTCTCCTTTACTTTACATGTTAAGGGATGAGGTCTCACTATGTTGCCCAGAATGGTCTTGAACTCCTAGGCTCAAGTAATCCTTCTGCCTTGGCCTCCTAAAGTGCTGGGATTACAGGCGTGAGCCACCACACCTGGCCATCCATGCCTTATTTTTAACCCCTACCTTTTCTTAATATAAAATAAAGTATTTGTTAGCTGCCCATATCCACTTTGGAAACAACTGAAGGTAGTGATCTTATCTAGAAAACAGTTCCCAGCTACAAGGGTTCTTGAGAATTCTTGAAGCTATGTCCATTATTTACTATGAGCCAACAACCTTAGGAATAGTTCTTTGGGAGAGTAACAAACTTAAATCTAAGGGGATTCCTTGCTCACCAGAATCATATTGGATGGAAAGAGAATGAAAATGTGTTTGTGTGGCAGGGAGAAGGTAGAATCAGAACTTGCATCTTCGGACACCTATGGCACTGCTTCATTTTGGACCAGTGCTGTCCCACAGAACTTTCTGGAGTGATGGAAATGTTTAATATCTCTACTATCCAAAACAACGTGGTAGCCACTAACCACGTGGTTACTGAGCCCTTGAAATGAGGCTAGTTCCTCAGTCACATCAGGAACTATAATTTTCATTTTATATAATTTTAATTTTAAATTTAAATAGTCACATGGTTACTGTTTCGGACTACAGTTCCACACTATAGAGCTTTGCATCTTTATAAAGAAAGTCACCCTGTTTATACTTAAGAACCAGAGTACTCCTTTCCCTCTTGATCTTATACTACAACAAAACTTTATCATTTACTGTGGATGTATAGGGAGGCTTCTAGCCACTAAATAACTAATAATTACTGTTCCAAGTCCCAAAATACCTTCCTATATGGACAGGGTATAAAAAAATTATACATATAATTTTTTCAAAATTATAGGTTTTTAGAATAAAGTTTATTCCTCTGTCTCAACTCCCCCTTCACAATGACTTAAGATGCTGAATGTTTTTATTTTTATTTATTTAATTATTTTGAGATGGAGGGTTGCTTTGTCACCCAGGCTGGAGCAGAGTGACACAATCTCAGCTCACAACCTCTGCCTCCCAGGTTCAAGCGATTCTCCTGCCGCAGCCTCCCGAGTAGCTGGGACTACAGGCACATACCACCATACGTGGCTAATATTTGTATTTTTTGTAAAGATGGGGTTTCACCATGTTGGCCAGGCTGGTCTCGAACTCCTGACTTCAGGTGACCTGCCTGCCTTGGCCTCCCAAAGTGCTGTGATTACAGGTGTGAGCCACCATGCCCACGCATTTAGTGCATGCTAAATCTTTTTTAAAAAGGCAACTATCCCATATGGAACCATTCTCAAGGTAAGGGACACATTAGGTTTAACCCAAAACTTTATTTTCTGGCCCAGAAGGAAACACCACTACCCATCAATCCTATATATTCTTCAGCTTTAATATATAAAACAGTTCTGGTTTGTGTTACAAATCCCCTCCCACTTTCTTAATTTGCTAAGTGAAATGTACAACCCTCTTAATGTTAAGGGGGAAAAAAAGGAAAATATAAGGTATTACATTTTCCAGTTCATTAGAAGTTGTTGTTTAACATCTATAACCTCCTCCTTGGCCTCTACTCTAGTATTCGAACGTTTTCAGGACAATGACCTATAGCAAAAACCTTGATGTGTCTTCTCTTCCCAGCAGTTCACCGACTCTGCCATCTTTTAAACCACACACTTTTCCTATCACCAGCACCCACCAGCATCCAGGCAGCCCTTGTCTCTCCACAGGGAGCTCGCTCACTCACTTTCTAGTAAGCCCTGGCACCTACAGCCCAAGTGAGGGCTGCAAAGCAAAAAGGGGATGCCATTCGCCCAACCCAACCTTCCCAAGGCCTCCAACTGTTTTTAGGAGAACTACTAGAATTTGTGGTTAACCTGACCTGCCTGCCAATTACCTCCCAGCTTCCGTTTACCCCATACTTGCACTTCCTCCTCAGCCTCCTAGTCACACTGGCCAGCTTGCTTTCTTCTAGTTCCCAGGAAGTCCCCGCTTGCTTGGCTCATCCTCGGACTTTTACACACACTGCTTCCCCTCCCTAAGACCTTCCTCCGCTCCCCATTCCTATTTCACTCCTCCTGGAATCTTGGACATGCCACCTCCTCTCCCTCCACCCACCAGAGTCCACTGGATACTCAGGTTGTACTCTTTGCTCCCCATCTCCTCCTCCTAGCATGGCCCCACTTTGACACGTATTGAATCTATGGGTATTTGATTGTCCTTCGTCCCCCCAGCTCCACAGAGACAGATCTGTTCATCCTCACTCATGAGAGCATGCCCATTCTGCCTGCAGCAGGCACTCAAGTGTCTGAGTGAATGGCAGGGCCAGCGATTTTTCACCTCCTCTTTCAAACATTAAGTCGAAGAAATGTGCCCACTGTAATCAAAACAAATCTGTCCACCCTCACCCAGCCGGGATTTTCCTTCTTGTTGGGAGAGGGAGGGAAGTGGCCTGTACATACAGAATGAAGGTATCACAGAAATAGAGATGCTTCTATAAATGTTAGACGGCTAGCTTAAATAAGTTTTCAACTATTTAGATGTTACAATAGAGATATAAAAAACAATAAATTCCCATTTAAATGCCCCTCTGAGGCCAATGATATGACCCTGAATGGCTGATGGACATTTATCAGAGAAAAGGTATAAAAATAGTTCAAAGTGTTCTCTCCACCATGGATACCAACCCCCAGAGCGCCTTTGAACTTTGAGGAGCTAAGTATACTGTCACAATCTGACAGACACCTAGCATAGATAAATCACATTCATGATTCGGCAGAAATGTATTTTTACATAGGGGTTCTATGTATAATACATATGATATTCATGTACCTCATTCTAAGCGAAGAACATAATTTCACTATTTACTTTTATGTACTTTTGGTCATAACTAGATTTGATGACAAACCCTAAATCTTCTTTTCAGGACAATATGCAAGGACCTAATGACTCATGCTGTTCATAGAGTATCGGTATCGATAGCGCTTTGGGCGCACCACAGACCCTCCGATCTGCCACTGAAGCCACCATATGCTAGTAGGTAAATGCTCCTTTTTGAAAGTGCGTGAGGGCACAACCATCACAGTCACCAGGGGATAGTATTCCAGAAGCTCTGGCTACTGCTTACAGAGTGAGAACTGTGTGGCAGGCCTGCTGCTCCCTCCACCCTCGCCTGCGGCAGACACGGCCACGCTGCTGGTCTGTCATCACAGTATCCTGGTCTTTCCCACTGAGCCCCACTGAGTGTGCTCACCACGGTGCAGCCACCACAGCTGACAGAAGCTGGCATGCAACTGTGCCTGCAGCTCTACTGTTACAGAGTCTATCAAGTGCAGTGTATAAAAGATAAACTGTCTGTAACGTATGGGGATTATAGGGTGGAAAGCCTGGGTTATGACTTGCTCTTTTCATTACCTGTATCTCTGAGAGATCTGCTGGGGCATGTTAATATAGGAACTAACCTGGGAAATGAAGTTATGGTGCAAAGAGCCTGATTTTCTTCTAATACAGAAGTGGCCTCCTTCCGGCGTTTTCGCATGTTGGCCTCAACTGTGTTGAACTCGGACATCGTTCCTCCGTAGGGCTGTCCTGGTGTCCCTTCAATCATGTAACTCCCATACTCTGGTCTCCAAAGGGTAGGATGGCTATGGAGGAGAAATAATTTAGTTCCATCTTATTCTTCTGCTATAGTCTGCTCAATTTTTAAGTTTTTAAAGTTGCTTTAAAAGTGTAGAAACCATTAGGTATAAATGAAGCCAGGAACTCCTTCATAGTTCTCACTGATTATTACTTTTCCATAGCTATTCAACTACATAAGGGTCAACAAGTATTGGGTCCAAAATGTTTTTTTTCTTTTGAGACAGAGTCTCACTCTGTCACCCAGGCTGGAGTGTAATGGCACGATCTCGGCTCACTGCAACCTCTGCCTCCCACGTCCAAGTGATTCTTGTGCCTCAGTCTCCTGTGTAGCTGGGATCACAGGCATGCACTACCACACCCGGCTGATTTTTGTATTTTTAGTAGAGACGGGGTTTTGCCATGTTGGCCAGGCTGGTCTCGAACTCCTGGCCTTAAGTGATCCGCCTGCCTTGGCCTCCCAAAGTGCTGGGATTACAGGCGTGAGCCACCGTGTCTGACCCAAAATCTTTATAAATAACTGAAAATGCACATAGAGCATTCACTGTCCAGGACAAACTAACCTATTCTGCAGAGAAGGCGATGAATCCATAAGGGTTCTTTCAATTCAGTGCTGCCCTCCAAACTCAAATGCAGCTTCCCCAAAACGAATGAGTGGAAAATGAACAGAGGAGGATATACTCCCCTTCCCTCCCCGTCTCTCTCCTTAAATACAGGAATATTTTTAAAACGTGCCAGGTCAGGCACGGTGGCTCATGCTTGTAATTCCAGCACTTTGGGAGGCTGAGGCAGGCGGATCACAAGGTCAGGAGATGGAGACCATCCTGGCTAACATGGCGAAACCCCATCTCAACTAAAAATATAAAAAATTAGCTGGGCATGATAGTGGGCACCTGTAGTCCCAGCTACTCGGGAGGCTGAGGCAGGAGAATGGCGTGAACCCAGGAGGCAGAGCTTGCAGTGAGCTGAGATCGCGCCACTGCACTCCAGCCTGGGCGACAGAGCGAGACTCCATCTCAAAAAACAAACAAACAAGAAAAACATCATGCTAGCCAACAAAACCCATCTGCAAGTTATATCTTGCACCATGGTTTGTGATCCCAGTTATACGCTTCCGCAATACATTTTTTCCCAAAAATATTTTAATAAAAAACAGGCTTTATATTTAGTTTACTGTACAAAGTGCTTCATATATTAATGTACTTAATTCCAACACCTTAGGTAGGTAGTGCTATTATCTTTACAGATGAGAGAACTGAGACACAGAACAGTTAAGTAACTTGCCCAAGGTTATTCAGCTATTGAGTAAAGGAACCATGATTTGAAACTCTGTCAACCTGAAACCAGAGCCTATACTCTTAACTGTTATGCTACCCTGACTCCAATAACTGAGAAAAAACTCCACATTCTAGTAGTTTTAGCAGTTTCAGAAACACTAAATCAGCATATGAGAGCTTACTTTGGGTTTGTCCTTTCCCCTTTCTCTTGTAGAGTTTCAAGAACTTTCTCCCCAGACAGGACCAATCGGACTTTTTTATTTTCATGATCAAAAGATACCAACATGTATTCCACCTATTGAAAATAAAGGTGAGAAAAATTAACATTCTTCCAGACTTGTTTTCAGGGTGACCTCCAGAAGAAAAAGGCAAGGAAACGTGAAGTCTGTAAAGGATCCACAGTAACTCCAGTCAGTCACATCTGCTTACAGTACAGCACAAAATAAGTGTTCATATGCATAATATGGAAACCTGTAGAAAGGATCAGTCAGTAGTGCCACTTCCACCCCTTCCTTCCTCTGTCCTACTTAATATCCTATAGAAAGGTCGATACCCATTTTGACAAGCTGTACATCAAAAAAGATGTATTTTGGAGCAAAGATTCTGGAAACTGCTGTTGTAAAAAAGAAGCTGCATTTTAAAATTTATTTCCTCAGTTGGCTTATTATAAGTTTAAGAAAGAGGTTATCTGGACATTGCAGTCAAGGTAGCTTATGCTTACTTATTGGCAGAGTAATAAGTAAGGTAGATTACACTTTCATAATCCTACTACCAGTCCCACCTTTGGAGAGTTAAACCATAACCATGAATATACTGTGTGAAGAAGTTATTTTAGGGGTTTCAACAATTTAATTTTGGTTTATCTCAAGTAATTTAAGACAAATTCTCCACTCTGAAACCATATACAATTTACAATGCAGGGTGCACTAGTGCACTTATTAACAATACCTGGTGGAATTCTAATAAAAATAAAGACTTAAACACCAAAGTCAGACTTCTGGGCAGAATACAACTAGAACCTACTTTTGTTTTTCCTGAAATTGCATGCTTTCAATCATGATAGTTGGCGTGAACAGTGAAGATTATGAATCACTATGTGTGATTGAAACAAAACATCCACTATCCATACGTAAGTGAAAAGATACGGAATTATCCAGGCAAACCCTTGAATGTACCCTTTGCACATGGCACCAAGACAGTTACTACAGAGGTAGGAAACTGACTCCTCACAAGGCAAACTAGGCCACGGTGTATTTGGTTTGGCCTACAATAGCAGTTTAGGAAAAAAAAAAAAAAAGGGCAGGCAACAGTATATCCACTATTTCCCAGACATTTCACATGTAAATCTAGTTTCTCAGTCTTAAAACAATACCCAGAAGCTCAGCACGAAGCCTGTGACTGTGCAGCTGCGCTGTCTGCTTCTCAGGGGTGCACACTGTCTACAGTTTATTCCCTTATTTATGTGTATTTCCCTGGTCTTAGAAGGCATTTGGGTCATTCACCCTCATCACAGAAACATTACGGGCCAAGTAATATGATTATAACGGGGAAAAAAATGTTAGTAACTATAGGAGATAACCTAGCAGATTTAAACAACAACAAAATAAACTTTCAATCAACTTGTATTAGCTCTCATCAGAATCTTTTTGCTCAAGAAATGGAAAAGGCTGCTTGATTTGGGTACGTGAACCAGAAACACGAGATCTCCACCTGCACAATCACTCAGTGTCAGCTGACGAAAAAACTAGGCTGCAGAATCTGGAACTGTTCGCAACAACAATTACAGGTTGCAAGATACCATCTATAGATCTCTGACTCCAGAACAGCTAAAACCTGATGGAACAGGAAACTTGGTTAAGTCTCAGAATGGGTATGTGAAAAGATACAAGTTAATCTTTAAATGAGTATAATGAGAAAGGATATGCTTTCATATATGAATCCTAATCTTCAAACCCAGCATGCAAAAGTAGGCATGATCACCCATTTCACAGGTGGGCAAAGGGGCTCAGAGAGGTAAGCTACACAAGGCCACAAGTGTCAGGCAGGGATTTGAAGCCAGCCCCGTCTGGCCTCAAGGCCCAGCACACCTTGCTGCTAGGACTGTAGGAGGTGCCAATCTTGGTAAGTGAAGATAAGCTTTTTATAAAATTGTTAGTTAACCTATATGAAGCAGGGAAAAGTGATACTGCTGGATGAAACTATCTCAAATTGATTATGCTTTTATTTTATGGAAGGGGTCCTAACATTGTATCATGGAAGCTGAGCTGTAACAATAGTTACAGTCACAGATTTAAACAGATGAATTGGCCCATCCCTCAGGCCGGGGACGGAACTCACTTATTCTATGCAGCATTCCTAACTCCCAGCCAGGAGGAAATGTTCCTTCGTCAGTACTTCCTCTATCACTCACTTAGACCCCAACTGATCTGCCTGGCATCTGCTACTGGAATTAAGTTATTTGCTTAACTAGATAACATGCTTCCTAAAGAAAGTCTAAGAGATACTTCCTTGCTTACTGAGTGCATCATTTATTTTTTACCAAATGAGCAAAAACTTGTAGCAATGATATAAACTAAGTTGCAATAACTTCTGTTAGTTTCCTAACTTTGAAAAAAATTGAAATCCTTAGTTTTCAAATTCATTCTTAGCCCACAAGATTCAAACATGGGTAGGACAAAAGAACAAAAAGTTCAAGCTCATTTTGAGTTTTAAACATCAGCCAAATGGATGACATTTAAAATGTTAACAAACCAAACTCTCCTCAATTAAAGTATAATCACTTCATGATCTCATTAAGCAAATGAAACAGAAAAACAGAATATTTACCAAATGACAAAGAAAACCAAATTTACTTTTCAATAGAATATAATCAGTTGGAAGCCTCAAGAATTTCCTGAAGGTTTTTCAAACTAAAAGTTAATGCCTTCTGAAGTGCTCCTTCTCTGCAGTCATCTTGATCTTCCTGCACTAGTCCTCAAAGAGGTTCTCCAACCTTTTAGCTTTTTGTTAAACACCCCACCACCTCAACACATTTGTGTTTATTTCTGATTAGAGCCTGTCTGTATGAGCATTCTGAATCGTAACCACATCTTTAAAAGCCAAACTAGAGCTGAAATGGGGTTTAACGCAATAACCTAGATGACTGGTGATAATAAAATGTGACACATTAAGACAACGCTTTTCCAATATAAAACATCTAAAGCCCCAATACATTATTTTATGATTGCTGGATTGTATCCCCATCCTAAACTTCGTTTTTGAATCCAAAGGATAAGAGGAACAATATACAAAAGAATATCTTAAAACAGATGCCTTTCTGTATCACAACACTGATTCCAAGGATAAAATTGTACCGGCTTTCTAACTTTGAATAGCATTTAGGCTATAAACCCAGAATTGCAGCAACATCTAATATATTTACGTACTTTACACACATATACAACTCCAAAAGCATATAAACCCAAAGAGTATCATAAATGGGTTGCAGAGCAACAATTCAAACTTGTGTAATTAACATATCATCTTGGAAGTAGGGGAAAAAATGCCCACTGAGCTCTATTCTCTGCAATACGCAGGTTACAACGTCCTGAAGGTGACTTTGAGATACTGTTTTTTAGCACCCATCAGTTATCCTTTTAACTGAGGGAGGAGACCCAATAAAAATATCTGACCACTTTGCAAGACATTCAGATTTTAAACGTGCACTATTTTTACAAATGAAAATTAAAATCTCTTAGATTTCTATTGCTAAAAGGCTAAACTTTATCCTACTAGAATAAAAGCCACTACTCTCAGCTGTCATATCAAAGACAAAGACACATATAAAAGACCAGAATAAAAGTCACTAATACACTACTATCTCTGAGCTGTTGAACCAAGGACAAAGACACATACAAAAGCCTAGTATGTACTTTGCTTTATGTGTGAAATAGTGTTGCTAGGAACACTCCGGACACAATAATCCAAGTCATTTAATGCAGGTTTAAACAAGGGTGAGGTACTTTTATGTTAATCTGAAATTAGGCCAATAAAAAGAAATAATTTTAACGGAAGCGATGTAAGTACTCAGTACAATGCTGAATATACAGCAGACAGTGAAAATACCTGTGACAAGTTTAAGATAAGAGTAAATACAAGCTTTTAGGATTTAAGTCTTTAAACGGCATTTACCACTGGTATAAAAATTTTCTTTTCTTTCTTTTAAAAACATGTTGATATTGCACCTTAAGGGTAAGAGTTTCAGGGAGCTTAGAATTTAAGGAACAGTGGGCCTGGTGCAGTGGCTCACGCCTGTAATCCCAGCACTTTGGGAGGCCAAGGTGGGCACATGACAAGGTCAGGAGATCGAGACCATCTTGGCTAACACGGTGAAACCCCATCTCTACTAAAAATACAAAAAATTAGCCGGGCGTTGTGGAGGCGCCTGTGCGAGATCGCGCCACTGCACTCCAGCCTGGGTGACAGAACGAGACACCGTCTCAAAAAAAAAAAAAAAAAAAAAAGAATTTGAGGAATGGCTAGGTATTTTATGAAATACTAATTTCTTAATATCTACTCCTAGAGGTAAAAACAGTGCTTAATTAGGAAACAATACAGAGTTCTATAATACTCAGAGCAGTTATAGGCAGTTCCCCCTTTAGGGAGAAAGTTCCTTTGTCAGTTTCTGTGTAAATGAGACAAAGGAATTTCCCCTCTCAAACTATTTAACTCATCATATGCTTGACCTCTTAAGAGAAGAAACCTACACCAAGTTCTTCAGAGACTACGAGCTGTGAGGTCCTACATTCCTCCCAGAGGGAGAATGAGGACTTTCCCCTCCTTACACCCTGGGAAGGATCTGTATTCAGGTGGTCAGGCCAAGAGGGCAAGACAGTGAAGGGCTCCCCAGGACCTAGTCCAGGTACAGTATGTGTGCAGGGCGGGGTTTTCAGTCCCCCTACCGACATCTGGGGTTCAGGGCCAGCTCTTCCATTCCACACTGCTGGCTCTCTTGCACTGGCCCAAGCAATAGTTTTGATCCTTTTGCTAGAACCACCTGTTGCTTCTCAGAGACTTAGTCTTCTCCTTACACTAACTCCTAAACAAGCCTGCAACCATTTTCAGGACTAAGGCTCTAGTTAGAGTTGATGACTCATCAGTGCCAGAAAAACACCGTCTTGCTGGACACACTCTCTGCCCTCCAACCCCCAGCACTAACCCCTTTGTCCTTTCATCCATTCAACAAAGCCCTTTGCTAAGCAGGTGCTGGGAATACTGTGAAGAGCCAGGCAGATGTGGCTTCTGTTCTCAGGCTTA